TGATAGCAGGAGGGAAGTAAGTCCACAGTCCAGAGGCATAGGCTCGCTAAATGACTGTGAGCTAATCATAGAGCTGCAGAGCACTTCTCCGCAGCTTACCACCACCTTACTAAAGACTTATTTACAGCAGCGACTTTCACCTGGTAGATCACATCCAGCTATTGAGAAAAAATTACACACTGAAAAAAAAAACACAAACAGAATTTGAAGAGACAGAGCAAGCCTCAGAACCAGATATGGCAGAGATGTGGAATTATCAGACCAGGAATTTAAAGCAATGATTAATATGCTAAGGGTCTTAGTGGATAAAGTAGACAGTATGCAAGAACAGATGGGCAATGTAAGCAGAGGAATGAAATTCTAAAAAAAAAAAAAAAAAAAAAAAACGAGATTAAAAAAAACACTGTAAGAAAAATGATGAATGCCTTTTGTGGGCTTATTAGTAGAATGAAAATGGCTGAGGAAAGAATCTCTGAGCTAAAGGATCTCTCAACAGAAAACTCCAAAACTGAACAGCAAAGAGAACAAAGATTGAAAAAACAGAACAGAATATCAAGGACTGTGGGAGAAATACAAAAAGTATAATGTACACATAATGGGAATATCAGAAGGAGAAGAAAGAAAAAGACAGAAACAATAAGATTCTTAAATTATTCAAATTGGCTGGGAGTGGTGGTTCACGCCTGTAATTCTAGCACTCTGGGAGGGCACGGTGGGTGGATCACCTGAGGTCAGGAGTTCGAGACCAGTCCTGGGCAATATGGTGAAACCCTGTCTCTACCAAAAATACAAAAAATTAGCTGGGTGTGGTGGCGAGCGCCCATGATCCCAGCTACTTGGTAGGCTAGGCAGGAGAATCGCTTGAACCCAGGAGGTGGAGGTTGCAGTGAGCCACGATTGCACCATTGCACTCCAGCCTGGGCAACAAGAGTGAAACTCCATCCCAAAAAAAAAAAAAAAATTCTTCAAATTAACCTCAGATACCAAATCATATATACAGGAGGCTTGGAGAACACCAGGCAGAATCAGTGCCCAGTAAACTACACCTAGGCACATAATTTCTGAACTGCAGAAAGTTAATTTAAAAACTCCTGGGTAAAACCAGATAAAAAACTTACCTACAAAGGAAAAAATATTTTATCTGACTTCTCAGAAATCATGCAAGCTGAAGAGAATGGAGTAGAATATTTAAAGTGCTTAGACAAAATTCCCCAACCAACCTAGAATTCTGTACCTACTAAAATTATCCTTCAAATATGAAGGAGAAATAATCACCGTCTCAAAGTAAAATTGAAAAATTGTGATACCAACAGATTTGCCTTGCAAAAATGTTAAAAGACGTTCCTTAGAGATAAGACAAGTAATGTAGGTCAGAAACTCAGCTCTTCATAAACAAACGATGAAAGAATGTATTTGACTATGTATGTTTCGGTATATATCTTATGTATATACGTGTACATATTCTTATGTAAGCTTTTGTCAAGTAAAATGAATGACAGCAATGACACAAGGCACAGGAGGGAGGAATTAAGATTATTTTCTTGCTACAGGTACTCATACTACCTGTGCATATCCTGTTATTTGAAAGTAGACTTGGATTATTTGTAAATGTATATTGCAAACTCTAGAGCAACAACTAAAAAAACAAAACAAACAAGCAAAAAAGAAGTGGCCAGGTATGGTGGCTCATGCCTGTAATTCCAGCACTTTGACAGGCCGAGGCAGGCAGATCATGAGGTCAAGAGATTGGGACCATCCTGGCCAGCATGGTAAAACCCTGTCTCTACTAAATATACAAAAATTAGCTGGGTGTGGTGGGACCTGCCTGTAGTCCCAGCTACCAGGAGGCTTAGGCAGGAGAATCGCTTGAACCTGGAAGGTGGAGGTTGCAGTGACCTGGGATAGTGCCACTGCACTCCAGCCTGGTGACAGAGTGAGACTCCATCTATGTAATATGCTAAGAAAGGAAAGAAAATACAATAATTGGCCAGGCATGGTGGCTCACACCTGAAATCCCAGGACTTTGGGAGGCAGAGGCAGGCAGATCATTTGAAGTTAAGAGTTCGAGATCAGCCTGGCCTCTGTCTCTACTAAAAACACAAAACAATTAGGTGGGTATGGTGGCACACACCTGCAATCCAGCTACTCAGGAAGCTGAGGCAGGTGAATGGCTAGAACCTGGGAGATGGAAGCTGCAGTGAGCCGAGATTGCACCACTGCACTCCAGCCTGGCGACAGAGCAAGACTCCGTCTAAAAAAAAAAAAAAAGAAAGAAAAAGAAAATACAATCATATAAAATGCTCAGTTAAAACTGCGAACAGCTGGGTGCAGTGGCTCAGGCCTGTAATCCCAGGCTGAGGCAGAAGGATTGCTTGAGCCTAGGAATTTGATATCAGCCTGGAAAACAAAGCGGGTCCCTGTCTTTATGAAAAACTTAAAAATTAGCTTGGCGTGGTGGTGTACACCTGTGGTCTCAGCTACTTTAGAGGTTGCAGTGAGAGGATCACTTGAGCCCAGGATTTTGAAGCCTCAGTGAACTGTAATCACACCACTAGGTTCCAGCCTGGATAACAGAGCAAGACCCTTGCTCTAACACACACACACACACAGCAGAAAAATTGTGGCAGACATAAATAGGAACAGAGAACAAGGGCGACAAATAGAAAGCAATAGCAAATACAGTAGATATTAATCCAACTTTATCAATAATCACTTCGAACATCTATGGTCTAGCTCCACCAATTAAGAGATTGTGAGAATGGTTCAAAATATGAGACCCAACCCTACGTTTTCCACAAGAAACCCCGTTTAAACGTAAATATGCATATAGGCAAAAAGTAAATAGAGAAAACTACATCATGCTAACACTAATCAAAAAAAGTAGGAGTAGATATATTAATTTCAGACAGAGTAGACTTCAAAGCAAGGAAAGTTATCAGGGCTAAAGAAGAGCATTACATAACGATAAAGAGGTCAATTCTCCAAGAAGACAGAACAATCCCTAATGTGTACGTGCTTAACAACAGAGTCAAATCACATAAGGCAAAAACGGATGGAACTACAAGGAAAAATAGATGAATCCACTATTATAGTTGAAGACTTCAACACCCCTGTATCAGATACCAGAAGGCAGAAAATCAATCAGGGCGTAATTGAACTCAACACCACCATCAGTCATCTGGACATGGTTGACGTCTATAGACTGCTTTATTCAACAACAGCAGAATAAACATTCTTCTTAAACACACATGGAGCATTCGCCATGACAGACCACATTTTGGGCCATAAAACACACTTTAACAATTTAAAAATCATACAAATCATGCAATGTCTACTGTCAGTATACTTCTAAATAACACATGGGTCAAAGAAGAAATCCCAAGATAAATTTTAAAATATTTTGAGCTACAAGAAAATGAAAATATAACTTACCAAAATGCATGGGAGGAAGCAAAGTAGTGTTTAGAGGGAAATTTGTAGCATTGATTGCATATATTAGAAAAAAAAGGAAGACCTGAAAATCAATAAACTTCCATCTTAGGAAACTAGAAAAAGAAGAGTAAATTAAATCTAAAGTAAGCAAAAGAAAATAAATAATAAAGGTTAAAGAATAAACTGGTAAAACTAAGTTAAAAAAAACAGTAATCACACCAAAAGCTGGTTCTTTGAAAAGATCAGTGAAATCAATGAACCTCTTAGCCAGGCTAAGAAGAAAGGACACAAATTACTAAAATCAGAAATAAAAGAGGGAACATTTCTACAGATCCCATAAACATAAAAAGGATAATAACAAGTACTGTAAGCAACAATATCCCACTAATTTCATAACCTAGATAAAATGGAACCCCTTGAAAGACACAGTCTGCCAAAACTCACACAAGAATAGACAATCTGAATAAGTCTGCATAGACTAAAGACATCAAATAAATAATTAACCTTCCTAAAGTACCCAACCCATAATAATTCCCAGGAGTAAACTATGGCTATGTCCATGTTGTTGTTTGCTTACTCTCTGGATGGACTGAGGCTTTTCCTTGCTAGGGAGCTGTGACTCCACACACTGATCTTCCTAAAACTGTTTTTTCAAAACAGGTCAAGGAATTTGGTTATACCATTCACAAAGTTGCCTCTTTTTTCTACTGATATGGTAAAAGAAAACAATCGCATAGGATGTGTTTGGTTGGCCATGTATAGTATATTGAATTTTCCTTATCCGTCTCTAAACCATGCCAAGGACATGAGCCTTCTGTGTGTCATTAAAAAAAAATTGGGTAGTCTGAAAGTGTTCTTAGTTCGGACCATTTGGGGTTTCTGTCAGAGTAACTTTCCCATTTACATCTTGGAACAGAGCCTTTTGTGTACAGCCCTTCGGGATTGGCGGGGTGAGGGGACTGGGATAAAAAAAGCCATCATCCAAAGAATGGAGCGGGAGGATCAAAATTTAGGATATTTTATTGACCTGCTAGACGCGTTTACCTTATCTTCGTATTAAGCCCATTTTCTTCATTAACCAGTTGATGCTTTGCGAAGCCATATCACTTGACCAGAGTCAAACAACAACTAACAAACAGCAGTGCCCAGATTTTTTTTTTTTTTTGCTGGACTCGGTGTTTTCCATTCAAAACCAACAAAAACCCAAAACTCGTTCTTTTTCACATCAAAAGCAAACACCAAACCCGAACCCAAACCCCAAGGGCCCCACCCTTTCAAAAGGGCTTCTCCGGATCACTAAGTCCTAGAGGTCTTTGGCCAGGCCTGGGTCCGATCTAGACAGGAGGCTAATTCCAGCGTTCCGCAAATCCTCGCCAAGTTCCATCCCGGCCAAAGCAGGGACGCGGGAGCCCCTGGTCGCGCCGAGGCCGGTGGTTGAACACTCCGTGCACGTGCTGGGGACGAAAGTGCGGACCCGCCACGCAGGTACGCGCGCACCTGTCGCCGCCGGCTGCGCGCCGCGGGGCACTGGGTACGTGCTCCGCGCGCACGCGCCCGACAGTGTTCCCCGTACCGGCGCCGGACGCGGGCGCGGTGCTTCTGCACTCAGGGTTCCGCGAGCGAGGGCGCTCCGTGCCGAGGGGAAGTCTGGGAGGGGCCCTTTTCCAGGCGGTCGCGGCTCCCCCTGGCGGCGGACCTGCGGCGCTGGACGAGCGCAGTCAGGCGTTCTCCGCGGGCAGCCGGCGGCGGGGCCTTGCCTCGGAGCGCGGGGTCCTCGGCGGCCTGGGCGGCTGCTGCCCCTGCTGCTGTCGTAGGCGAGGACGGCTGTTAGTGCTGCTGCTGTTGGTTCGTCGCGGCGGCGAAGGAGGAGGAGGAGCAGGGCGAGGCGACTGGGGAAGAAGGAGGCAGGCGCGGCGGCAGCGGCGGCGCCCCGGGCCGGCGGAGGCGAGGGGGCGGAAGATGGCGGACGTGCTTAGCGTCCTGCGACAGTACAACATCCAGAAGAAGGAGATCGTGGTGAAGGGAGACGAGGTGATCTTCGGGGAGTTCTCCTGGCCCAAGAACGTGAAGACCAACTATGTGGTTTGGGGGTAAGTCCGGCGTGCTGTGGCGCGCGGGTGGCAGGGCGGACTTGGGCGCCCCCAGGCGACCTCCTGGGCCCCTCCCCCCGCTGCCCCCGGGGCTGGCACCAACGGGGCTCGAGGGAGGAAAGTTTCTCTCCAGAGCAGAAGTTGTACTTTTAGGGTGAGGAGAGAAGGGAGGAGCTCTGGAGCCGTCCATCCCTTTAAATTTTTGGGAAGCCCCAAGGAAAGGCACTGGGGGAGCCTCCGACTTCCACGGTTGACTTGTAGCAGTAGGTGTCGTGTACCCGCGAAGCGTGCGGCTGGCGCACAAGGGTACCTGAGCAAAGGTGCACAAAGGAGCAGGCGTCTGCGGCCGTGGACGCCTCTTTTTGTCCCCCCGCCCCCCCGGGGCTGCCATGTAACTGTCTCCACTGGTTCTTGGAACTCATGGTTTATTTCATCTCCTTTCGTTGCTGGGGGGAGCGAGGGCGGGTTGTTCTTGTAGAAGACAAAAAATCAACTCTGAAGTTAGGATCGGAAAGAAATTGGGTGAATTTGGGCAAGTCATTACAACCTGTGTCAGGGTGGTCTTCGGGAATTTCTCAGAAAGTTACTGGTGAAATGGAGTGAGCTTTACAGATCTAAGAAATTGATTGTGTGATTTTGGGAAGTGTATTTTTAAAGGGAAATGCTTTGGCATGTCGGTCCATGTGAAGTTTTATCAATTTTAGTCATTCAGAAAAACTTCTAGAGATAGGTCTAACGGTCATTAGGGGCCTTTTTAATGATGTCACGTCACTGTCATTGGTGCTTCATTTAAGTAATTAGACCTTGAGCTGAAATTTTCCTCCTCATTTTGTTTGTTGGAATGGAAGCTTTATGAAGAGTCGATGAAAAACTACGGAAATTTAGATTGTTGGTTTGTGTTTATTTTTGAGAGGGAGTCTCGCTCAGGCTGTGGTGCAATCTTGGCTCACTGCAACCTCCGCCTCCTAAGTTCAAGTGATTCTCCTGCCTCAGCCTCCAAATTAGCTGAGATTGCAGGCGCCTGCCACCGTGCCTGGCTAATTTTTGTGTTTTAGACGTGATTTTACCATGTTGGTCAGGCTGGTCTCGAACTCCTGACCTCAAATGATCTGCCCCTCTCGGCTTCACAAAGTGCTGGGATTACAGGCTTGAGCCACCGCGCCCGGCCTGTTGCTTGGTTTTTAATTTTTTTGGTCTTGCAATTTAATTAGCTTTATAAAATGTTGATCAAATGACATTCTGAGTTTCTGGTGTTTTATCCTTTCAAAGAATTTGCTTAGATAGAATTACATGTGGTTGGATTTTTTTTTTTTTTTTTTTTTTTTGAGACGCAGTTTCGCTCTTGTTAACCAGGCTAGAGTGTAATGGCGCGATCTCGGCTCACCGCAACCTCCGCCTCCTGGGTTCAGGCAATTCTGCCTCAGCCTCCTGAGTAGCTGGGACTACAGGCACGCGCCACGATGCCCAGCTAATTTTTTGTATTTTTAGTATAGACGGGGTTTCACCATGTTGACCAGGATGGTCTCGATCTCTTGACCTGGTGATCCACCCGCCTCGGCCTCCCAAAGTGCTGGGATTACAGGCGTGAGCCACCGCGCCCGGCACGTGGTTGGATTTTTAATGAAAATTTTTTTTTTCTTTAAACAACGGCTAAGGAGTACCTAGAATATGAAGTGGTTCAATCTGAGGAGTAAAAAAATTTCTAAGATGCTGGTTTCTACCTCAAAGGAGGTTAACTTAATCTGAATAGAGATTAAACGGGTAAGTTGATGTGAAATGCTTTCTATAATAACTTATGAAGACAGCAGTCACTTCTAGTTAAAAGTATTTACGGAAAGTTCCATATAGTTGTCTTTGGCAAGTTCACTTCCAACAAAGTTTTCTTGAATGAGTGAACAAATAAATAAGCTTTAAAGGGTAGATAGGAGTTCTCTGGGTGAAAATGATGGTTTGAGGCTTCCAAGATGAGTGAACTCTATGGTTAAAGGCATGAGAACTAGAAAGTAAATGTGTTGACAGCAATTCAGTGAAGCCAGTGAAAAAGGAATGTTTAGCACAGTAGATTTTAAACTTTTTCAACAGTGAATCACACCAAGAAATTATTTTTATTTTCTATATGTGCACATGCACATGTAAATATATACATGTAAAACACTAAACAATACTGGCTCTTCTTATTGCATGCAGTGCATTTTATTTTTCTCTTCTATTCTGAAAATAGAAAAAATACAGTTGTTAACTGGGTTCCATAGTACAATCATTGATAGTGGTGTGTGGTTTGAAATACACTGGCTTAGAGGAAAAGTGGGACTAGAAGCTAGCTAGAAAAGTAGGTTTAGGGCTGATGATAGTGGGCCATATTCAGACGGATTCAAAGCTTTATAGATGGGGCAAATGTAGTAGGAAGGGTGCGATTGGAATGAGGTAAGTAGTACCTGCGTTAGAGAGCTTGCACCATTAGTATATTACATTGTTTTATCACAGGTAGAATAGGATTTTGGTTTTGCATTATTGGTCTAATTTGAGGGATGTCGTGACAGTCATACCTCTGAAATCCAGTGTTGTGCCCACTGTAAGAACGTGAAGGATGTTGTTCAGCAGTGTTTTATTTAGCAGGAGCTGTAGGATAAATTTCTTTCCTACTTAGCACTGGTGATAATTGTGCTGCTTCTAAGCAGTTTATTTTCTCTTACGGATCCTCTTCAATAAGGATATGATTGAATTTCTTTATTGATAAAGCCCAGAGCCTAATTCGGGCCTAATTCTATAAAGCGTATAGTACCTTATATGAATTTTTTGTATTTTTACTACTTCTTGTTTTTTGTCATTGCCGCCTTTTGTGTTTCTTTTGCGATCATGACAGTCTATTCATTATTAGGTTTTATACTTTATTTTTGTGAGCTATGTTAAACCCATTGTTACACAGCAAAGTTGTGTAGATAAAGTAATCCGGCCCAAAGAGTCGAATTCGAGTTGTGAGTAAAAAATCTTGCTTTGATTATTTCAGGACTGGAAAGGAAGGCCAACCCAGAGAGTACTACACATTGGATTCCATTTTATTTCTACTTAATAATGTTCACCTTTCTCATCCAGTTTATGTCCGACGTGCAGCTGTAAGTAGAATCCATGTTACTTATCCATTTGTCAGTTTTATTATTTATTTAAGAGATGGGGTCTGGCCCTTTTGCCCAGGCTAGAGTGCAGTAGTGTGATCATAGCTCATTGCAGCCTTGAAATCCTGGGCTCAAGTGATCTTCCCACCTCAGCCTTCAAGTAGCCAGGACTGCAGGCATGGCCACTGTATCTGGCTAATGTTTTTTTGTGTGTGTGAAGATAGAGGGGTCTTGCTGTGTTGCCTAGGCTGGTCTTGAACTCATAGCTTCAGTGGATCCTCCTGCCTTAGCCTCCCAAAGTGCTGGGATTACTGGCAAGAATCACTGTGCCTGGTCAATAATTCATTTTAGAACTTTTTTTTTTTTTGAGATAGGGTGTGGCTCTGTTGCCCAGGCTGGAGTGCAGTGGTGCGATCTTGGCTTACTGCCCCCTCCCCCTCTCCGGCTCAAGCCAGCCTACCACCTCAGTCGCCTGAGAAGCTGGGACTACAGGCATGCCCCACCATGCTGGGCTAATTTTTATATGAAAACATTAATTTATTTTATTTTTTGGCTTCATGATGGTAGGTATCATTTGAAATGGATAGCTTCCTTTACGGGTTTCAAATCAAAAGAATGGAAGGTTTGCATGAATGTCTCCAGGAGAGTCAAAATTAGGCAACTGTATGGCTTACACAGAGTTTTTAAAAATCTGTGACATATTTATGTAAAATGTGGGTAATGTTTATAACAGAGGAAGTTTTAAAGGAATTTATAGAGCCAGGCTTGTTAGTACACACTGGCAGTCCCAGCTACTTGGGAGGCTATGGCAGGAGGGTTGCTTGAGTCTAGGAGATAAAGACCAGCATGGGCAACATAGTGAGATGCCATCTCAAGAAAAAGAAAACGCAGAAACACTAAAGGCATTTATAGAGGTGTTTAAACAAACTTTTAAGCCTGTGGAAGGACCTTGTTACTTCAGAACTCTGGTTTAATCCCAAGAAAAATTTTTTTTGATTGTAAGGAACAAGATTAGCAGACATTAAAAAAATATATATATTTTAATCAGTTTTGTGCAACTGTTTTTATACTCTAGAGAAGTTCATTTGTTTTTAGTTTTGCTTACTTTCTCAGTGTTTGAAAATTTATTACTCAGAGGAGATCTCTGGAAACAACTTGAAAACATAGACTGTGATGAGATTTTTCATCTGTAGGGAAGTATGTTATAATCAATACATAAATTATAGCAGTATATTATAATTGATAAGTAAATAAGATTTAGAGTTATTTGGATAGGATAGCTGTATGATATGGAAAATTGCTATAAATGCCCAAATAAAATGGCCTAAAAAGATACTTAAATTTTTTAAATGAGCTTTTCCCTCAGATTATTTTCGGTAGAGTTGAACATAACATTTTTTTGAAGATATAATTGAAATAATTAAATGCCTGCTTTTAATATTTGTTGCTTTTGCTTACTCACAAGTACATACTTAAAATTAACTATGGAATGTATTTATAAATAACTGCTTTTCCCTGTATCTTTATAGTTCTTAAAACAATTTTCTTAAACTTTTCTTATAGTTCTTAAAATAATTTTCTTAAACCTCATTGTGTCTGTCATCACTGGAGCTGCTTTTTGAGTTACCTTACACAGTTGCTGGATCACATTAAGCTGTGTGAAACTTAACTTCTAAAGCCCTAGCCTCCCTCCCAAGTAGAAATAGTTAAGGTTTCTGGCTTATGTGAGGTATCTTTCAAATAATACCTTGTTATTTAAAGCAACTGAAAGCTGGGTGTGGTGGTGCATGCCTGTAGTCCCAGCACTTTGGGAGGCTGAGGTGGAAGGATCCCTTGGGCTCAGGAGTTCAAGACCAACCTGGGAAACATAGGGAAACCTCGTCAAAAAAAAAAAAAAAAGCCAGGCATGGTAGTGTGCACCTATACTCCCAGCTAGCTACTCAAGGGGCTGAAGTGGGAGGATCACTTGGGCCCAGGAGGTTGAGGCTGCAGTGAGCCATGATTGCACCAGTGCATCTAGTGTGGGTGATAGAGCAGGACTCTGTCTCAAGGAAAAAAAAGAAAAAAAAAATATTTTTATATATATATATATATATATATATATATAGACTTACTGATTGAGTGTGTGTGTGTGTGTGTGTGTGTGTGTGTATAGCAGTTGAGAAAGTATCCCGTCACTTAGTGGCCTTTGTATTAAGCCATAAGGCTTCCGCTTTCCCGAGCAAGAAATAGACATTTATGTTACATATTTAAAAACATATAATTAGAGTGAGTGAGACTACTTGAGAAATAATGGGAAAAAATAGCATCAGCTCCCTCTTTAAGGCTATTTTAATTCAGATCTTTAAAAACTAAATTAGGTAGTTCTTACAGTGTTTTGTTGGATATATTCATTTTACTGTAACAAAGATTCAGATAGTTGGCTTAGATTTATAGATTCTGGTACTGGGAAATGGTTGTACACATAACTGATAGCTATAATGTTACTGGGGACCTTGGGACCCTTGGTTGCATAAGATTTAACTCTTATTTTTCTTAAATATTTGTCAAATTAAAAGAGCAGGATTCTAAAATTCCAAAGTTCTGTGAATTTGAGGTTGTTGTCTCCTATTACTTTGTGTTATTTGCTCTTTCCTGTGAGCAGACCACTCTTGAAACACATATTCCTGACCCTTAGCTCCTATTTTAGTGTGAGTAGATGTAATCTTTCTCAGAGGACTGTAATGTGCATATGGCTCAATAGTGACGAAATGATGATGCAAGTTATTAGACTTAGAAACAGTAACTTAAAATTAAATCTTTTAACTGTTTATGATATTCCAGGTAGACTGGTTTATTTTTATTTTTTATTTTTTGAGACAGAGTCTTGCTCTGTCACCCAGGCTGGAGTGCAGTGGCAGGATCTTGGCTCGCCACAGCCTTGCTCTCCTGCGCTCAAGCTGTCTTCTTATTTCAGCCTCCTGAATAGCTGGAGCTATAGCCGTGACTGCAGGCACTTGCCACCATGCCTGGCCAACTTTTATATTTTTGTTGAGATGGAGTTTCTTCATCTTGCCCACAGGTCTTGAACTCCTGGGCTCCAGCAGTCTATCCACGATGGCCTCCCAAAGTGTTAGAATTACAGGCGTGAGCCAGCATGCCTGGCCTAGGCTGGATAATAGAAGCGCAAAAGAACTCTGCACTCAAACTTTTAAACTCATAAGGAGACTAAAATTTAGCTTGACCTTTTTAAAATAAAAGATTAATTTTTAAGTGATTAAATACAGTTTATGTAAATCATTGAGGAGTCAGTGCAGAATGTTTGGTGCAATGAAATATAATAAGCATTTGATATAAGGTCATTGGCCAAAGATACTAAAGGTTCTTGTTACTTCATTGTTACTCATATAAAGTGACAAAGGATTTAAACTGGAATCTCTCAGCTACTAATTTTTCTTGGACTGTTTGTTTGTGTTTGAAACAGTCTTGCCTCAGCCTCCCCAGTAGCTGGAATTAGAGGCACCCATCACCATGCCCGGCTAATTTTTGTATTTTTAGTAGAAATGGGGTTTCACTATGTTGGCCAGGCTGGTCTTGAATTCCTGACCTCAAGTGATCCTTCCGCCTCGGCCTCCACATAGTACTGGGATTACAGGTGTGGGCCATTGTGCCTGGCCATTGCTTTATTTCTAATAATTATCTTTTGTATAACTTCCTGGAATTTCAAAAAGAAATGTATTTATTTATTCGTTTATCTATTTAGAGACGGAGTCTTTCTCTGCTGCCCAGGCCAGAGTGTAATGGCTCAATCTCAGCTCACTAAAACCTCTGCCTCCTGGGTTCCAGCAATTCTTCTGCCTCAGACTCCTAAGTAGCTGGGATTACAGGCGTGTGCCACCACACCCAGTTAATTTTTGTATTTTTAGTAGAGACAGGGCTTCGCCATGTTGGGCAGGCTGGTCTCGAACTCCTGACTTCAGGTGATCCACCTGCATCACCCTCCCAAAGTGCTAGGATTACAGGCATAAGCCTCCACGCTCAGCCAAGAAAATTATTAAAAGTAACATGTTTGATAAATTTTCAGGATTTTTATTAGGTTCTTATAGCCTAGTCATTTTTTACAAATGTGATTTAAAATACATTTTATCAAGATATTTTGGAATAAAATTCAGACATTACATGTTTATATTTATCAAGTTGTGTATCATTGTTATTCATTTGATACCTCATTTAAAATTTTGGCTTTAGACTGAAAATATTCCTGTGGTTAGAAGACCTGATCGGAAAGATCTACTTGGATATCTCAATGGTGAAGCGTGTGAGTACTTTTTAAATTGTTCCCACCCTTAAACAGATATTGTTTCTATTTTCCCCTATGAAATAATGATTAGTGGGAAGAGAATTTGTGTTTCCACTAAAAAAATTAACCTACTTTCATTTTTGTCTGTGTGCTCATCTTTTTCATACACAGAGAATACACTGTCTTTGATTTTAAGCTCAGTCACCCCTTCCTTGTGTGTGGATTCCATCTCCTTTCACACAGTCTCAAAGACTTTGTCTTTGTAAATTGTTGTTTCTCTCTTACATTATCAGTTTCTACCTTTTTCTGGATCATTCCCTTTTAGAATACCTACAGAAAGATCTCTCATGTTTAAAAAATGCTTTTGACACCACATTCCTACTGTCTACTGCTTCATTTATCTTCTCCCTGGGCTTGTAACATTCTTTGCAAGAGTTCGTGTGGTTATCATTGCTTCTTCTTTACCTCTGTTTCTTTCTTGAAGCCACTGTAGTCTGGCTTTCATCCTCAGCATCCCACTAGAATCACTCTTTCTAAGGTCAACACTGATTTACGGATTGCTACATTGTTTGGTCTCGTACCACCCTTGACCTCTCAACAGCATTTGATACTATTGACCACTTTTTTGAAATCCTTTCTTCATTTGGCACGTGGAACACCAGACTCTTGATTCTCTTTCTCCTCATTGTTCACCTTTCAGTTTATATGGTTACTTCCATACCTGACCTCTACTTCCTGAAGTTTCCAAGACCTGATCTTTTTTTTTTTATTGTCTCTCTTAACCTTTATTCTGTGGCTGATCTCTTTCAGTTTTATGCCTTAGATATACATATGCTGATAAAATTCCAAAATTTTTTAATCATTGACTTGTTCCAGGGCACCAGATTTATAAATTTACTGTCAACATATTTCCTTGAATGTTGAATAGGCATCTGAAATTTAACATATTGAAAATGGAATACCCAATTCCCTCTTTCCCTTCTTCCCTCACACAGAAAAAAAAACAAGTCTGTTCTTTCATCAGTGTTCCCACTTTAGTAAGGAGCAGTGGTACCCTATTCCTGCAGTTGCTTAGGCCAAAACCTGCGAAATCTTTTTCATATCTCACATCCATTCTATTGACAAGTTCTTTTTTTCTGTCTTTAAAATTATGACAACTTCTTACCATCCTACCCATCCTATTTCATCCTTTCTTTTTAGATTATTGCATAGCTTCCTTACAGCCCCCACTCTTTATTTCCTATAGTGTAGTCGTAGTAGAGTGTCTTGTTGAAAAAGTACATAAATTTGATTGTGTCACTCACCTGTGGCTTCCCATCACACTTAGAATAAAACTCATGCTTGTTACCCTGGCCATATCTTGCCTCTGAGTAAATCTCTGTGATTTCATCTTCTACCAGTCTTCCTTCACTTACAGCAGTCAGTGTTTTTGGTATTTTAGCTATGCTCATCTTAGCGCCTTTGCGCTTTCTCTTTTCTCTGTCTTGAGTTATCTTTCTTTATATTATCACATGGCTCACTTCATTACTATTTCATTTAGATCTGTGCTCAAGTGTTCTTCCAAATGTTGTTCCATCAAAGACTTCTCTAACCACTATCTAAAATATAGTATTCCTTTCCTGCTTCTGTGGTCTTTATATAGTGCCATCCTGATTTATTTTTTCATCAAATCCTGTACATTGACCAAAAATTATGTATCTGTTTATGTACCTAACTAGTACATAAACAGATAGTACATAGACAAACAGTGTCTGTCTTCCCTGTCAGAAAGTAAACCCTACAGGGATAGACAGTCATTTGTCTTGTTAAATACCCAGCATTCAGAATAGTGGTACATGGTAGGTTCTTTTTTTTTGATTTTTTTTTTTTTTTTTTTTTTTTGAGACAGAGTCTCACTCTGTCGCCAGGGGCCAGGTTGTAGTGCATTGCGATTTCCGCTCACTGCAACCTCTGCCTCCCCGGTTCAAGCAATTCTCCTGCCTCAGCCTCCCTAGTACCTGGGACTACAGGCCCGCCCCAGCATGCCCAGCTAATTTTTGTATTTTAGTGGAGATGGGGTTTCACTGTGTTGGCCAGGATGGTCTCGATCTCTTGACCTCATGATCCACCCGCCTTGGCCTCCCGAAGTACTAGGATTACAGGTGTGAGCCACCGCGCCCGGCCTACATGGTAGGTTCTTAAATGAATAAATGAATAATTATTAATTTACTCTGAGTACAATACATCGTACAAATACATTGATATAATAGAACTATTGGGTTTTACTTTGCTGAGTGTGGAATGTAGTACCTTTAAGTCATTAACAGCTGTCTTGTCATTCATGGCTTTAAGCAGTAAGATCGATTTCAAAGATAATCTTGTATATAATGGAAAGATCATTATTAGGAGTACTTTCTTCCTATGCTGTCCTCATTCAGTAAGTAGTTATTAAATGCTTATTTTTCAAGGCATTATGCTGGGTGTTGTGCAAAATGCAAAATCCTTGTCTAAAACATGTAAACATGTTTACTGTCATGGAAGGAAGACTGGACACACAAAAGTTTCAAACCCAGCAGGATTGAAGGAGGAGTCTCAATTCTGTGAAGAGGATGGCATTGGGGAGGATAGAAGCAGCCTTTTTTTTCTTTTAGCGTTGGGATCTCACTGCATTGTTCAGGCTGGTCTTGAACTCTTGGCTCAAGCAGTCCTCTCTTGGCCTCCCAAAGCGTTGAAATTGCAGGCATGAGCCACTGTGCCCAGTCATTTTTTTTTTCTTTTTAAATCAAAGCAAATTTGATTCTTTGGAGCAGTATTTCTCTGATTTTTTACGTGATGAGAATCATGTTGAAAATGGTGTGTCTTTTTAAAGATTTTTTTTTTGGCTTCAGAAGATATGTAAAGTCTGACATTCTCTATTCTTAAGCATCACAGGCGAGCCTGATAAATAGGCTAGTTTTGGGGAAGTGCTTTAGAACAAATGACTTTTTTTTTTTTTTTAAATTTTTTAGAATCTAGAGTTGCTCTTTATCCATCTAATATGTCAGTTTCTGTAGGACAAATTTAGTCACTAAGCATATTGCTTTGCCACTTTTTAAAAACTTAATTTAATAGTTTAATGAAAAGCTTGAGCAAATATTAAGACCGTATTCTTAAGGAGACATAACTGCTTAAAAAAGTTAGTTCTTAATTTGTACATTTAACATTGTCTCAATAAGAATCTGCAGTTTTTCTCAAGGTAAGAGTAGAACTAAACACGATGATTCTAAAGTGCATTGGCAGAAGTAAGGATCCTAAAAATGTGTAGAAGATAAATGAAAAAAGACTAGTCATTCTAGAGAACTTATAATAAAACTCCAATAGTTAAAAAAACTAAATGAATAGATACACTAATAAAACAACTTTATCTGTTAGGTTAGAAATCTATATGTGCATTTAACGTGTGAGTAAAGAGACATGTCAAGTCAGTGGGAGGAAGGTGGGATTTAGTTATAAGCTGATAAAAGTAATAAAGTTCTGTATTACAAAAAACAAAAGATATGTCAAACTGAGAAAAGACATTACTGTTTCAACTCATCACAGATAAAGGGCTAATCTCACTAATATATGAAGGGTCTTGGAAATGTATGCATAAAAGACCAAATGCATTATGTCATAAAATTCACAGAAAAGGTGATAAAATCATGAAAAATGCTTAATTTCATTTATAATAAGAGAATTGCAAATTTAAACTATACAGAGATAGGTTTTGTTTTTTGTTTTTTACCTGATGGACAAAAATTTAAGTCTGATAATGTGCTCTGGTGAAACAATGAGAAAACAGATATTCTACTATATTGTTGGTTGTAATGTTAATCAGTACCCCCCCCATTGAAGAATTGGCAGCAATCCAACATTTCAAATTTAATGTAGAAATCCTATGTCTGAAACTTTATCCTGAAGGTATATTTAGTTTAGTTTTTTTACCAGTTGTAAATAACTAAAAATTACATGTGTAGGGTGAATGATAACTTTAAAGAAATCTTGCTATTTTATATATATATATATTTACATATTTATGTATGAAAATGTATGGTGTGACTTTATATGTATATTAATATATCATTGTGCCATTGTTTGTAACAACAAAAGACTAACATTCAACAGCTCATCAACAGGGACCTCGTTAAATAAATTGTAATTAGGCCATACAATAGAGTACTCATAGGTACTTGTAGCGTTAAAAAAAGAGTGAAAGAAATGCTCTACTTACTGATATGGAGGAATATGGGAGATAAGTTGTTGGGTAAAAAAGAAAGCAGGGTTCAGAACAGCACGTTTAGTATGTTACCTTTTGTATTAAAAAGTAAAAATAATTTTGATTTCTTGTATCTACAGAAAGAAACTCTAGAAGGATATGTAAGAGACTAGTTGGCTGCATAGGGTGGCGGGGACTAGGTGAATGGGGACTGGTACTCCTCTTTTTGTTGAGCCGTTTAAAAATTAAATAATTAAAAAATTGCATGTTTAGGGTGAATGCTAACGTTAAAAAATATTGCCCTTATATATACATGTTTATGCATTCATTTATGTTTAGATATACCTTATTAGGTGTCTGTGTTATGATATTGGAGTATATTCTTTTTTTTTGTTTTTTTTTAAAGACGGAGTTTCGTTCTTGTCCAGACTGGAGTGTGATGGCGTGATCTTGGCTCACCACAACCTCTGCCTCCAGGGTTCAAGGGATTCTCCTGCCTCAGCCTCCCAAGTAGTGGGATTATAGGCATGGGCCACCACGCCTGGCTAATTTTTGTATTTTTAGTAGAGATAGGGTTTCTCCATGTTGGTCAGGCTGGCCTTGAACTCCTGACCTCAGGTGATCTGCAAGCCTTGGCCTCCCAAAGTGCTGTGATTACAGGAGTGAGCCACTGCGCTGTGTGGAGCATAGTGTTTGAGATGATCTCACTGAAATTAGCATATCCTTTGAAGCAACTAATTTCAGTCACATAATCTCAGTAAATTAGTAAGCTAAATCCCTAAAAATAGTTTGTCCTCTTAGGGACTTTCTAGTATAAAAAACTGCTTTAAAACTTAATTTTTTACCTAGAGAAATCACCACATAGAAGTATATTAAAAACCTAAAGCATTTCACTTGTAATAATGTCCAGTATGTATGTTCAAATATTAATCTTCACATGAATCTTTTTATATCTTCAGCAACATCGGCAAGTATAGACAGAAGCGCTCCCTTAGAAATAGGTCTTCAGCGATCTACTCAAGGTATGTCTTGTTGCATATTTATATTGAACTTTCAGAGGCCCGTTCCAAAACTACACATTTATTTACTTCTCTTTTATAGTCAAACGAGCTGCGGATGAAGTTTTAGCAGAAGCAAAGAAACCACGAATTGAGGTAAAGAAACTATTTTAAACAATATTTTTTATATTGTTAACTGAAATTTGGATGTTGTAGAACAAGGATTCTTTGCGGTAACCTGAGAAGCTTTTTTTCTTGGAAAAATTTTTGTGGCAGAAAGAACGATAGATTAATAAGTAGCTCAGGCTATAGTTTTTGCCCTCTCACATGCAAGCTATGTGATGGACACAACATATTTTTCTTTGCTTTTATAGTCTTTTTGTTGAAAATACTGGCTCAAGGGTCAGAATTCTTTTTCCTGCTTTTTTTTTTTTTTTTTTAGGCAGAGTCTTTTTTCCCCCAGGTTGGAGTAAGTGGTATGATCATAGCTCACTGCAGTCTCGACCGCTGAGGCTCAGGCGACCTGAACAGTTGGAACTGCGGGTACCTGCCACCATGCCTGGCTAATATTCTCTCTCTCTCTCTCTCTCTCTGTATAGTATTATTATTATTTTTTTGGTGGGGGTTTTCCATGTTAGCCAGGCTGCGTAATACTTTCTCTATGAAAGGCCAGATAATAAATATTTTAGGCTTTATGGGCCGTACAGTTTTTGTTGCAACTATTTCACTTTAATAATATAGTGTGAAAGCATTCATAGACAATACATAAATGAACAGATGTGGCTATGTTTCTGGGTTTTTTTTTTTTTTTTTTTTTTTTGAGCCGGAGTCTCTCCCTTTTGCCCAGGCTGGAGTGCAATGGCTCCATCTTGGTTCACTGCAACCTCTACCTGCTGGGTTCAAGCAGTTCTCTGCCTCAGCCTCCCAAGTAGCTGGGATTACAAGCACCCACCACCACGCCCTGCTGATTTTTTTTTTTTTTTTTTTAGTTTTAGTAGAGATGGGATTTCACCATGTTGGCCAAGCTGTTCTTGAACTCCTGACCTTGTGATCTACCTGCCTTGGCCTCCCAAAGTACTGGGATTACAGGCATGAGCCACTGTGCCCAGCCAGATGTGGCTACATTTTTATAAAAAACTGTAGGAAAGATGGAGGGCCAGAATTGGTCTTTGGAATATAGTTTTTCTGCCCTTGAAACAAGGATTTATGGGGGCTTGCTTTACTGCTTGGAGCTGTGAACATAAAGTACATACTATGTAAATGTAATTTTAATTAAGCATATTCTGAAACATGGATTTGATATTTTCAAGAGAGTGATAATTGATTCATTGTTACTACCGTATGCTATGTGATATTCTAAGTACTTTATATGTATTAACTCATGTAATCATATTTGCTCAGAAATATATGCATAGTACTTCTAGTCCTCATGAAGCTGGTAGTACTATGCATGTCATCTATGAGTGAATAGGCTCAGACAGAGTGAGTTGCTGAGGTTTGAAGAACCAGTTGGAACCTTGGCAGTCTGGTTTCTAGCCATTCCACTGGGTATAAATTTTGTTGCTGTAAAACTGAATGTTTCACCTTACATGACAGGAGATTGCGACCTGTGGTAAACAGTGTATGTATTTAGGGATAACATTTATTTGATCTCAAATTCCTGGTCTCCAGCAGTCTGCCCACCTTGGCCTCCCAAAGTGCTAGGTTTACTGGATGAGCCAGTGCAGCCAGCCCAAGGGGTACCATTTATTTGAAGCAACCTGAACGTCACAGTCTAATTATTTGAAAAAATTCAGCATGGCAGAAGTCCTAATTTCCTAGGATTCTAATAACTTGAAAAATCAGCAGGAAATAGCATAATACATATTTATCTAGATCATTTGTAGTGTTGAAATGTGTTACGTAAAAAGCTGTGGATTTCATAATTGGTTTTCAGTTCAGTGTATATTTTTGAGAACCTATAAGGAACTATGCTAGGAAAGAGAAACTAAGGGCAGAGTTTCTGATTTGATAAAAATCTAGGCCACAGTTGTTTTTAAAATCAGCAATTTTGTGAAGAATTTGAGTAATCTGGGCTATATCTTTATTGCAAATGGAAAAAATTGGATGCATTTGCCAAAATATTTTTGCATTTATTTCAGCTGATGTATTCGTTTTAAGATTTGTACGTGATAGATTAGCAGTGGGACATAAATTGGAACCCAGCATCTTTTTGGGTCTCTGGAGTGCTGCTGCTTTTTATACAGTTTTGTATTCCATTAGTCGTAGTCATTGACTCTGGTCTGCAGTTTTGTTATTTGTTGAATGTGGACATTAAACTAGATCAGGGTTACCAGATTTTGTTTTGTTTTTAACCATCTGCTTTTCAGACTAAATTTTACCTGACGTCATAATACATAAATTAGATAAAAGCTGAGCTACCAGGGTTAAATTTCAGACGAGATCTTCAAGTGGCGCATGAGGCATTTAGTTGGAAGCTTCTAACATTCTAGGGAGCCTCCTCTGAAAGCTTTTAGGGTTTTCCTTGGAACATTCTGATTAGTGCTATGGAGTCACGACCTGTAGCTACAGATGAAAAAAGATGGAGATGCCAAAATGAAATTTTTGACCAAGTGAAGGCTTGTCATAACATTTGGTTATTAACTTTCTCAAAAATAGGAATTTATTTGTCGCATGATGTCTTTCTGAAGAAAGGCAGCTGTGATAGGGGAAGAACACTTAATCATAAAAAAGTGGCTAAGCAAGTTTTTCCTAAGCTTCTAGGTGATTCCACTTTTAAAATTTAACATATATTTATTGTTATTATCTTTCTGTAGCTAAAAGTAGTCTTGAAGTTGACCTAAAGACGCTGATAACTAGAATTGTATAGGTAGGAAATTTGGTAAGAAAACATTACATGTGGGGGTTTTTTTTGTTGTTGTGTTTTTGAGATGAAATCTTGCTCTGTCACCAGGCTGGAGGGCAGTGGCGCGATCTCAGCTCACCACCCTCCGCCTCTCGGGTTCAAGTGATTCACCTGCCTCAGCCTCTTGAGTAGCTAGGACTATATGCACCACCACGCCTGGCTCATTTTGTTTTTTTTTTGTATTTTAGTAGAGATGGGATTTCACTGTTTTGGCCAGGATTGTCTTGATCTCCTGACCTCTTGATCCGCCGTCTTGGCGTCCCAAAGTGCTGGGATTTCAGGCGTGAACCACTGCGCCGGCCATGTGTAGTGTTTTTTTTTTCTTCCTAAAAGTTAAAAACTTAAAATACACTGACCAGCAGTTATTTCCAGGATGAAGAGTGTGTGCGCCTTGATAAAGAGAGATTGGCTGCTCGTTTGGAGGGTCACAAAGAAGGGATTGTACAGACTGAACAAATCAGGTAAGAATTTTTTTTTAGTAGGAAGTAGATAGTTTAGATATACCTGACTGTATATGGAAAAGTAATATTAAAATGCTCTCCACATTTACATTTACCTCTTGGATTCATTGTATGCTTCTGTGCTCTAAGTTCATAAGAATATGTGTGGGGATTGGAAGTCATTGGGTTTGTCATGCTTTTTGAAAAGTCTTCTTGATTCTATTACCATATTGGTCTTTCTTTTTAAAAATTGCTTTATAAGCTGAGAAATTCATTTTATGTAATCTCTTATTGATTATGTATAGCAGAGGTCAGCAGGCTTTTTCTAGAAAGTGCCACGTATTAAATATTTTTAGCTTTGCAGGTAATATGGTCTCTTGAAGCTACTGAACTTTTGTGGTAAAGAGAAAGCAGCTATAGACAATACATAAATGGTTGGGCGTAGTTTCTTCACTCTTTAAAAATGTTTTAATTTTTCTGGATTTCAGCTACTCAAACTCAAAGTTGTTTCACAGCTTACTTATGTTCTTTTTTTGGATTCTTTTCTGTCTGTTTATTTTCTTTTATGAATTATTTTCAGATAGTTTCTGTTGTATTGAACTTGACTAATACTTTGACAGTTCACTTAATTTTTAAAAAATTTTTTGGATTCATTACCTGTTATATTCTTTTTTGAATTTTTTTTGATAGTTTCTGTTGTGTATTCAATTTTACTTTTTTTTTTTTCCTGTAATCCCATGGATGTTTCATCTCCAATATTGTGGTTTTCATCTCAAGAAGTTTTTTTTTTTTTGAGATGGAGTTTCACTCTTGTTGCCCAGGCTGGAGTGCAATGGTGCCATCTTAGCTCACTGCAGCCTCCACCTCCTGTGTTCGAGTGATTCTCCTGCCTCAGCCTCCCAAGTAGGTGGGATTACAGGCACATGCCACCATGTCCAGCTAATTTTTCTGTGTTTTGCTCTTTTAAAAAAAAAAAAAAAAAAAAAAACTACTTCATCTTTTCATTTAACTTGTTGAAATACAGAATATAGTTCTAGTAATTATTTTCATGACTTAAGATTGGTATTTCTCTTATTCTGGGTCATATTTTCATGTTTTATTACATATCAAGTGATCTTTGATCACACACCAAACATTTTGTATACTTTTTGCGTTGTTGAGTGCTAGATATTGTTGTATTTCCCCACATCATCTTTAGCTTTGTTTTGGGACACAGTTAAATCACTTGGAAACAGTTTGGTTTTTTTTGGAGGGGGTGTGTCTTGGTTTTAATTTATCTGAACATTAGTCGGCTAGGATAATTATTCCCCACCCACTGAGGCAAGACCATTCTGAGTACTCTACCTAATACCTCATGAATATGAGGTTTCATTCTGGCTAGTGGAACAGGCACTATTCTTCACCCTGTGTGATCACTGGGCACTATTCTGTTTAATCCACTTGGGTGGTTCTTTATTCAACCTTAGTTTCTTCATATTTATGCACTAGTGAGTATTTTGCTGGGGTACGTGAGTGGGATCTCCTGTGCAGTTCTCTCCTCAGGTATTCTGGCCTATGGATTCTAACCAGCTTGGTCTTGTTGTAATCCGAGCTCAATTTCCTTGTATCAGAGAATCCGCTCAGTTCTACATGGGTTCTGCTCTTAGAACAGAAGGCCATGCTTTGGAAACTTAGAAGGCAATAAACTGAGGCAGTCATAGGGCTTACTTTATTTCTCATTTGTTAGGGAATTACTGTCCTTCATTGCTTCATATCTAGTGTCTAGTAAACCATTACTTTATGTATTTTGACTGGTTATTTAAAAGCTGGAGGGTTAATCTAGCCTGTGATACTTCATATTGTCTGTAAGAAAAACTTACATGATTCAAAGTCGATTGCAGGCTTGATTATAGTTTGGAGAAGCACAGTAGTCTCCCAGCCACCCTCTGGGGATTCGTTCTAAGACTTCCAGTGGATGCCTGAAACCTCGGATAGTCCTGAACTCTAGCCAAGAAGTACCAGGGTCACCTTTTCATTTAAGGGAAGCAGAGGTGTATGCGAATTGCTAGCGTCACTACTCTTGTGTTTTGGGGCCGTTATTAGGTAAAACAAGGACTACTTGAACATAAGTACTTTGATGCTGCCATAGTTGATTTGAAAACCAAGACGGCTGCTAAGCGACTGACGGGCAGGTGGTGTGTACAGTGTGGATACACTGGACAAAGGGGTCATTCTTGTCCAGATATCCCAGGCAGGCATACCAGGTAGGAGAGTACAAGACTTCAGCAGGCTACTTGGCATGGCACATAGTTTAAAACTTATGAATTATTTATTTCTGGAATTTTCTAATTAATATTTTGGACTGTGGTTGATACTGGGTAACTGAAACTGTGGAAAGCCAAACAGAGGAATAGTGTATTTGAATTTGGCTTAAGGTATCCTGGTGTGCTTTAGATTTTAAGGGAAATTTGCACAGTACTACACAAAATACATCAAATGCCGGATGCATATTGAGTGCTACTATAAAGTTCCTTCATACCTAATCTAAATAAAGTTAGAATAATATGTAATATTACTGTATTTAAACCTGCAGGAATTTTCCTCCTTTTTCCAGATTTTGTGTAACATATTTCAAGATTTTCATCTTGTGACTAAAGTAATATTTTTGTCTACTGTTATTAAGGTACCCAAACACTTTTTCATTCTTTTTCTCATTTTACATGCTAAAAAAGACATTTTGCTTAAGGTTATCATTTTATGACATCTGTACTTTTCAGTATTAAGTCTTTTTTTTATAGTTCTGCAAACATAGTCTCTTTTTCCTATTTTGGCTATTTGAAAAGGAAAGGGAAGAAAAAGAAAACTGCATAAAACATGGTTTTGTCTTCCAGAGATTAAAAGGAGTATGTTTTTGTGGCGTATAAAAGCCTGTCACTTAAAATAATGTTCTGCACTGTGACATACAAGTTTGAAACCTTGAAATAAATTTCAAGGAAAACCTGGGCTTTGAACTTTCTGTAGGATGAATTTTCTACCCCCTTGCAAGGTGCCTTCTCTGTGTGTGTGTTATTTCCATAGATACAGAAAATATAAAAAAACACACCTGTATTAATAAGTCCTGCTTTTTTGCAGGGAAGAGGTGAAAAAATGTGAAGAATTTTGTTGCATTGATACTTCTAAGACATTACTAATTTGCTCTTAGAATGATATCTTGACATGAATTCTTTCTAAAATTTTATGTAATTGCAGAATATCAAGTCAGTCTTACAGATAAGGAAACCTTAATGATTTGCCATTAAAGTGTTTTTACCAGAAATTTATAAATGTAACAACCTATATTTATGATACACTCCAGGAATCCTTGCTGTGAAAATGTAAAAAAGAAATTTTTTTTAGGTCTTTGTCTGAAGCTATGTCAGTAGAAAAAATTGCTGCAATCAAAGCCAAAATTATGGCTAAGAAAAGATCTACTATCAAGACTGATCTAGATGATGACATAACTGCCCTTAAACAGAGGAGTTTTGTGGATGCTGAGGTAGATGTGACCCGAGATATTGTCAGCAGAGAGAGAGTATGGAGGACACGAACAACTATCTTACAAAGCACAGGAAAGGTAATTAAAATGTTTTGTTCATTCACTGAAGTGAGAGAGAGAGAGAGAGAGTGTGTGTGTGTGTGTGTGAGAGAGAGGGGGGTGTAGAGAGAGAGAGAGTGTGTGTGAGAGAGGGGGGTAGAGAGAGTGTGTGTGTGAGAGAGAGGGGGGTGTAG